TGAGCCTGTATCTTCAAGCGTTCGGGGCCCGAATCTTGGGAAATTCTGGGGTCCGACTGGCACACCCACGGCATGAATGAAAACTTGTGCAAAATAGCACTAATATAGTGGCAGTAGTGGTAGCAGTAACGGCTGCCTTCTTACGGACAGTAGTGGCGGCCCAAAACTCTAAAGCGAAGTTCCAACCTTTGGGGAGGTGGGAGCGTTCGGGGCCCGAACCTTGTGAGCTCCTGGGGGCCGACTAGCACGCCACATGAAGTGGAAGCTCAATATACCAGAGGTCGTCATAGTGTTCGTAGCGCTCATGGTAGGCGGAATTGTCACGTTGCCGTAGTAATAGAATTTGTAACTCTTAAAGAAAAGATATTCACCTTATCCAATGTGAAATATCATGTAGTGGTAGTCATCGTAGTGGTGGTGGAACAGCGGCACCCTGCAGCGGCGCCAGCACCCAGCCGCCATCAACAGCTGGCAGCAGCACCCTGCAGCACCAAGCCGCCACATTTGGGGAAAAACATCCGGCCAAGTGTATCCAGAGTGCGCCGAAACAAGTGGGAGACAAGTGTGTGGAACGGTTTGAGCCGTTGACTGTTGACAGCTCGTCCCTGTGGAATGCACAAACTGTTTGGGGTCTACGCTGGTATATTATAATCACACTTACCATGCCAGTAGAATTACCTAAAAAGCTGTGCTGGGGTTCCGTGAGTTCGACACCTGGCACACCTCTTTGGAAGTCAAAGCAAGTGCGATTAGCACCCGGTGTGTCACCAAGTTCCCAGTTACGGGGTTTCATTTAGCGAGGTTCCAAGCAAAGTTGAAATCAAAGTTGGTTCTAAAAGAAAGGTGAACAGTTACGTCCTGGGGCTCGCTCGAGAGTTCCCAGCGAAAGTTGTGATCAAATCCAGGTTAGAGAAGTATAGTCAGCTATGAGGAATCTGCAATATCTTTCATCAACAACATTGAATATGTACTTAAGATCATTGTTTGCATTAATCAACTCTTGAAGTCTTGGGATTATGTTCATCTTCTTCAGCGACGGCCTTGAATGCATAAGTAAAGACAACGCATTTGTACAGTGATGAGTCTAAACGTTTCATTTGTTGCCAATGCCGCAAAGTTTCCGTCGAAGATGAAAAGTGTATGCTAGATATGCTTGCACCTCAGTGGGACTGAAATAAATGGCAAGGTGGCAAGCCAATGCCAGTGCTCAAACTCCAGAAGGTGATCTGCAAAGGACTCAAACCGACTCTCCACGTGTTTTGCAACTGTTGGTGTGGTCTCTGTAGGATTACCTGTAACCACCTACTCATTGTAGGACAATGGGGGTAGCCGTTAAGCTGGCGCCCTGTGAAAATGCACCGACCAGTGCGTCAAGCTGCGCGTTTGCTTCCAGGAGTCATAGGTGGTGGCCTGGGTCTTGTGCAAGTCCAGTTTTCCAGCCTGGGCAACGCGGGTATGCTCAAAGAGTTCAGCAGTCTAATTTGTTGTCATTCTGAATGGGTGGTGGGAGGGGTTTGGAGCAAAGACAGCTTGTAGCCAAGTGAAAGCAAAAGCGCGAGGGCAAACGCTTCCAAGGCAGGAGTGACAAGAAACATCTGACAAAAATACTCTTCTTGCGGCCTCTGCCTCCACCCGCAGCATCTTTGATACCGTCAGGGTGGCTGCCTCAAGTCAAACAAGCTTTCCAAAAGAAACCATTAACGGGTAAGCTTCAATTTTACACCACAATGAGCCAGCCATTCATTTATGCTTACTGGTTTCTGCACCAAGGTTCCTTCAAACGCCGCCGTGCCAACCGCTTCCGCTCAAAGTTCTGCTCTTTCCTGAGTCCGTCTGAGTCAAGTTCATCACATTATCCTCAAAAAACGTGTTTGCTCGTCACTCTCGAGCGTCACTGTCGAGAGCATTGTATAGCCAAAGGATGCTAGAGGCAAGCCCATAAAACATTATACACCCATATCAAATGCATTTGCACCCTTAACAGAACTGCAGGCAGTTCCACCACTTGACAAGTCTGATCTGAGCATCTCTTCCACTCTTCCTCGGTCATCAGGCATGCTGGGCACCAATCCACGACAGCTCTTGAGATAGAAAGGATGAGGATGCATCACAGAAGTCTTCTTGAAGCCACTCAATCCATTCAAATGAGTGGCTTATGTAGTACTGGTCATCGGATACAGCCAGAAGGGGCTCTGCCCTGGAGATGTAGTATCGCTGGGCATAAACTGGCCACAATGCCTGGTTGAACGCCACATCATTGCCACACGTGCGTGCTGATCTTTGTTGTTTCAACCACATTTCTCCAAAGGATCGTGCAAAAACAAAACAAAATCGCTTGGGTAGACCCTAAAGAGTTCCAACGAAATCCAGGCGCGTGCAAACATGTCCACAATTCTGGAAAGGCTCGACGGATTTAGTATATGCTGTAGTTGCAAGCTGAGATTGTCAGATCAAAGCGCATGTAGAGCACTCGGGTCAAAGCTCTTCAACAACTGCCAGAAAATGCAGTGACTAGCAAGTGAGGAAGTGCAGCCAAGCTTCTTTGCCGGTCGTGTCTCGAACATCAACAATCTTTGTGTCCTCACAGGGTTGAACCATGTTGAACCCGTTTGGAGAAACATGGGCGTGGGGGCCATCTTTTGAAACGGCCCAAACATGGAGAAACATGGAGGACCCAACGATGGCTCTGATCTTACTGAACTGGACCATGCGAAATAATGCGAAATACTCATCACCATGGGCTCTAGATCATAGGGCTCGTCATACAGCTGGTGGTTTCCACGTGGGTCTGTGGGATTGCTCCAGGCCCGCCTCAGTATCCAGCGTAACGTTGTCATCGAAGAAGACCGCGTGACATCGGTGGTCTGTGGGATTCACCGGCAGCAACTTGCCTCGGTGGTCTGCGCTGAGGAAGCAGATCACTCATGAACGAAAAAGGCAAGACAGGTGAAAGGACAAAATAAAGTAAACAATAGAATTCACTGAAAACAGTCACCTGTGAGGGTCACTTCGATCTTCTGCCAAGATTGGCCAAGATCAAGACACCCTATCAGTCTTAGTGCATCCAGTGCAGACAAAGGCGCCATAGGGTCCATGTTGCCCACCTGCGAAACCAACAAGTAATCGAAAGCAAAATCCAAGCCACAGCTTCTACATTCTTGTTTTGTAGTCAGGGGCTGGTGTGTCTGTTTGCGCGCACCTTTCTGCCAATACGGAAAGTAGTCCCGCAAGGCCAAGACCTATGGATGCGGGTCAATAGCAATAGTACTATCCAGACTATCCAACAACACAAGCAGGACAAAGCGAACGAAAAGGAAAGCAAGAACTGGCGCAGCTTCGGGACGGATGGCTGGCTTGTCTTTATGTGAAGGTCCTGCCCAAAAAACACGATATTGAATCGCATCGCTCTTAGGTTTGAGGCCATCGCTATTAGGTTGGAGGCCATCGCTTGCCAGGTAGGAGGCCATAGACATCAATCTGTGTCCCTGGATATACTCTTCTAGAATGAGCTCCTGAAGAACAGCATCCCATCCCCTGCTGAACTTCAAGCTCTGATTTGCTGGCAGCTTCAAGAAGTCATCAAACACTCCTCCGCATCATGGCAGCAAACATACAAAAATGCACCAATTCTTAAACCGTGACCGGCTTCCAGCAGACATGACAAAACCAAACAAAAGATGCTAGTCTTCTGAACATTGAAATCAACAGTTTGATGGGCTGTCCTCCCGCCGCATGCAAGTCCTGTGGCTGAGATACTGCTGCGACAAGGTTGGAAAACATCCCAAAAGATCTTCCGTGTCCTCTTCTAGAGTTGTGGTGCCCCACACGATGCTCAAGTCATCTGCCGCGCGGTACCACGACCCTGGCTGGGATGTCGTTCAATTCAACTATTGACTCATGCGCACTCGAAGATGTCTTTACCCAAACCAAATACCGCCCCTGGACTCACCTGCCTGTGTTCTCCGCGACTAAGCGCAAGTCTGGCTTGCCTCCCGAACTTCGTCAATCATCTGTCTCGGACCAAGCGTCTCAACATTGGTCTGCAATGAGCATAAGCTTCAGGCAAAGCACAGCGCGGTCAGAGTCAGTGAAACAAGTTCAACCAACAGGCTTCCGCCACTACAACTGTCTGGCCACATCACCTGAAAAAGCAACTTGCGAAAAGGCTTGCCTTGAGCAGAGCCGTCCAAGCGCATATCTGGATATCTGGGATGCTGCCCAGCCTGCTTTTGGTTTTGGTAAGTGGAGGTTGCCTTCCGAAAAACATATTCACATTCAATTAACATGCAGTGCCTACAGTAAATATATGTGCATCACATATGTCCCTAAATGTGCCGTTTCATCGATGTGTCTTCCAATGCTCAAAAGTGAAGAGGGACAACAAAAGCAAGTGAGGAGAAACGACTTGGACCGAATTCGTTTGAATCTGGCACTGTGAATCTAGAAGGCTGACGCTATTGGTGACTAGCAACTCCAAAAACCATTGCCCATGGTACTATTGAGCACGTACTATCTCGATTTGTAACGTAAGTGCTTTGATCTAGAGTTTGGAGGAAAGACTTCCTGCTCAACTGGTATTGCTCCTGGGCAACCTCGCCTGTTACACTTCCAAAAAACCTAAGGATGAGGATGGAAAGTCAAGGGCCCGGGTGAGAGCTAACTTGACGTTGTGGTGACGTGCTGTGTTTGCCGACACGCTGTACGTGGTCATGCCGACATGCTGAGGCGTCACGTCGATGTGTTGACGCCATGTTGCATATGATACTGTCATGCGGACATGTAAACGCGCTAGCAGCTAGCATATTATCGCGCTGGTATGCAGGTACTGCCGACTAACCCAAGGATTTCAAGGTTTTGGCGGCGCAGGACATGAAGGGATCCGCTGCTCACAGCCAAGATTGGATTTGCAGTCGTCCAAGAATAGAGCAATTGAGCACGTGTATTTCCTGCCACTTCTACTGTCCGTGTTGAGTCATCTTTCGATGGCAGCCCAGATATTTTTTTCCAGCAAATGCTTTGCAAATGTCCAGATTCACCGCCAAAACAGGGACCTGCAAGTTTCCATGGTTTGGGGTTTGTATATACAGTATACAGTATACAAATTGACAATTTCAAATTGAACTGAGACGTTGGGTTCACGCGGACATGCTGGCAGGCTCCAACGCCGGTTCCGAAGCAAATTCCCTGGTTCTTGCTTGTTGCGGCGTTGTCACGCTTCCACGTGGCCCACAAAAGGTGTGCTTAAATTGGAGTTGCTCTTCAGGCGGCATACAAAGGTGTGCTACATTGCGGTGGTGCCTTCGTGCTCCAAATTCTGCGCTCGTGTGGCCCACAGTGTGCTACATTGGAATGGCTCCTCCCAAGTCCACATTTTACCCTCCAGTGGTCTATAAAAGGCGTGCTTAGCGGCAATGGCTCCTTCCTGAACGTATGCTCCAAGTTGGGACTGCTCCTTTTCGCTCAGTACTTCACCCTAGGAACTTGCTACCTGTGATGCGCTATGATGCGCTTCTGTGACACGCTTCACATAATAGATGGGCAGTGATCTGCTGTGGCTTTGGTGACCGAGCCGAAAAACTGTGAAGGCTTCTGGTAATGATCTGGCAAATTGCATTGCGCTGTGGTTCAGTCTGCCGCGTGAGGTGTGGTTGCCTGGCGCTTCGTAGCGATTTGTGATGATGTGTTGTGCTGTTCGGAGGTTTCTGCTCATGTACAGTCTGTACGGGTAGCTTGTCGTTGGCCATGGAGATGTGTGATGATTCATGGCGATCTATGTGCGTTTTCGTGCCGATTAGTTGTGGTGTTTTGCAAAATGACGCGGGGCGACGTAACTTGAGGTGCCTTGTTGCTGTAGATGGTCTGTACCGGTTCGTCATGCCATCTAGTGGTTTCTGTTTATTGATGGATCCAAATAGTGGTGATGAGCAGTGATGCTCAGTGAATGCGGGCCACAGCGAAATCAAGCGGAGGAATCGAATCGTCTCTTTCAATTCACTTTGCATTTCCTGGCCGACGGACATTAGAAATCAATGTGTTGCGTGTGGCAGGGCAGGAGCCGTCAACTGAAAAAGCTTTGATTTGACAAGGGGGAGCTGTCCACAGTTTATTCTACAAAATTATGTCCATTTGAGCCCACCTATACCTTAATTAATCAACAACTACGACTTCAACTGAGCTCCATCTGAGCTTGGTGTGAGATCCGCGATGAAACCAATAGGGCATAATGGGCATACTCTGCTGTCTGCCAGGTCCCTTTCCTGAAGGCTTTAAAGACATTTAAAGACTTAGAGCCAGTCAGGCGGCACTTACCCCTCCCTCTGCCCGAGTTCTGCATTCGAGACACACAGAACGCGTTGAACTCTGCTTGAACTGCAGGTAGGTCCGAGCCGAACGTTCGGAAGACGATGGAAAAGCTGCGGCCCTGGCAAAACTCGTTGAGTTTACAGTTTTCATGATGTCTAACCTTGCCTGGATTTACGAATCATGCGGGGCCCACGTTCTTGATGAGCTCGGCGACAAGCTCGAAGAATGCGGCAATCCTTGAACGGAAATGATGGTGCCCACATCCATTGAATCTTGCGCATTTTCTTGATTGGGGCTAGCTGTTTTACAGTCTGTTCATAGGCTTCATTTAGTGCCGGACACCATGCCAGTACCCACCATGCGACCCTCTGCCAGCAGCTGCATTTCCATGGATTCATAATAGGGCCGCAAGGACTCTCCAGGTTCTCCAGGCTCTGTGAATTTCTTCCACACCTTGCCGGTTCCCTGTTCTTTAGAGGCTCTAGACAAGGCCTTTGCCGTTCTTCAATGGACATACTTTCCGTCTTTGCCGCCAAAAAGGCGAGCCAAGCTGAAGACCATGCCTGCTCACGCTTCTTCTTCATGTCCTCAAGATCCCCCCAAAGCCCTCATGCGCCTTTGTACGTGCTGCTGGGAGTCAAGTTGTTTACGTCTTGTTAAGAGCTTCTCCTTCGCTTTTCCTGGGAGGCACTGCTCCAAGTACTCCAAGTAACTCACCAAATCTTCTGACTGATCTGGCCTGGTGCATCATGCTGAGCTGTAAATACCCTTCAACCCCTCGATTGAATTAGACCGTTACCGAATATTTGAGCTCAGAAATGGCTACTGCACTTGTCGGGTTCTGATATACCAAGAAAGGTCTTGCTAGGCATCTTCCACAAGCTGCGGAGGCTCCCACGGCTCCCGCAGCCTTACGGAGCTCGGGTGCTTTTCCACCAGCTCCCAACCTTTTTCCACAGGGCCATGGCCATTCGGCTTGGCGCGGCCCCAAGCACATTCCGCCAGGATTCCTCATATGCAAAGATCCGATGCCTGAAACAAGTCCTAAGTCATGCCGACAAGGCTCCATTGAGAACATCAGAAGTCGGAATTCTTTGGATTGTGTCCTCAGCATCACTCTCAACATGCGAAACAAAATGCTAGCGGGCAGGCGTTTCTTGTACCTTTGGTCAAGTTCGTTTTTTAGATACTGCAAATCCATGCAGAGCCACTACGAATCTTCCAGCAAACCTGAATTTGGCATTCGGCACGCTATTTCCATCAAAGTCTCCACCATAACGATGGTTTTGTTCACATCGAAGTGCAGCACAAGGTGCGGCGGCTTCGGGCTCCAGTGTCCTCCCACAAGGTGCTGAGCTGAGGTGCAACTTCACACAAAAGAAGCGTGTATACAGAAGTTGTGCGGAAACACAAACCTAAATTGTGGCTAGAATCCAGGGGGCCATAGTTACGGCAGTGATATGAAATGAATGGCAACTTTCACGTCAAACACAACAAATGACAATGCCTGGTGTGCCTCTCTGCTTTGTTACAGGGATTGATGAAGCCTCAGCATCAAAAGCTGGTAGGGACCTACCAAATCGGATAGTTCACAGAATTCGCTGCTGGTAAAGTGCGCACCAAGAGACCATCGTAGTATGTCCATTTCGGGGGGACCAGCAAAGACAAATGTCCACAGATAGTATGTGGCCCATGGCTTTTAAGGCGCAAAGCAAATCGACTGTCTTGCTTGCGGATTCAGATTCTTTTTGATGCAACACGTGTAGCAAGATTTTTATCGCTTCACCTACAAGATGCTAGTAATGCTAGCGCTTTGGATGCAGCTTCCATGCAGCCCTGTTGGAGAGGGAGATTGCCTGTTTAAACTACATACCTGCTTACTATGTACACCTAAGATGCAATTAAGAATCCTGCCAGAACCTGAAGAAGTCAGCGGCAGAAACAACTCTGATATATATATATATCTCCTGATTTCTGTAGACCTTTGTTGTCAACACTCTTGATATCTCTTGATGAAGCAGGTTTCAACACTCAGCATCAGGAGGCGTGCCTTGCTGCATCTTTAGCCGAGCAGTGCTACTCAGCTGCTACTCACGTAGATATTATATAGATATCAAATATCCTCAGTCTTGTTCTACCTGGTGCCTACTTATTTGCACAGCAGCTGGCAACATGGTGGGCGCAGGCTCTCGAGGTCAATCAACTTTTGAATCTAGGGATCTGCAAATGAACTGGAAGGAAATATGTCGTCCAAGTCCAGTTTCCTTGGATGCGTGCATGTCGGCAGGTCAGCAAACAAAGCCTCAATTCCATGACTTCAAGTCAAACACATCCGGATCAATCTTGACTGCCTACTTCTTGTCAATTGCATTGCTTCGGTCACATGCCTTCAAACATGGCACCACCGACTCCAAAGCAAGCAGGTCTCGTTGCATCAGCAACCACCCCAGCAGCACCACCAAACTCCTGTCCTTGAAGAAATGGCCGACAATCATCAAACAGCAAGAACGAGGAGGCAACAACTACAATTCCACAAGGAATCTTGTCCACGAAGCACACCTTGTGTTGATTCTGTGTAGGTGATGTAGCACTTCATGCCAGCTGCCTCTTTCGTTTGTCAAAAAAATGAAGCCTAGCTAGCGCCATGACGCAAAACATCACAATTCCTGAGCGCGCAGCCAAGGCAGCTTGCAAACCAATCCTGTCTGGTCACTGGTCCCCCGCGGAATGTCACAAGAGCTCTGAGTCGGCATCTTGCAGCTCAGCGGCTTTGAATCTTCTACCACTGCGCAATTCTCAATTGACACGCCCAGGCCTTAGCTGCTCACTCAGCAGCCAAGTCCACAATAGCAAGCTCCAAGCTCCAAGCGCTCAGAGGCTAGTCTGTAGATCAATGGGTCAGGCTTCTTCCTTCGATCTACTTCAACGACAGCAATCGAAGTGCCACGGTAAATAAATGCGGCATGCGGCAATGCAAAAAGCTAACAACCGGCCATCGCAACTAGGAGCAAGGACGCTACTCGCAGCTCCTGGCATTACTACTAGGAACAAGAAGCCACTAAGAACAAGAAACTACTAGTAGCAAGTTCGCTCAAGATTCACTCCTGCTGACGTCATCGCCCAAAAGGATCAAGTCAAAACGTGACAAACGATCCTCCTGCACGATCCAAATCCAGCAGAATGCAAAAACGTCCAAATCATGTCCACTTTTGAAGCATTTTTTGGCAATACTTGTGCAATACTTGTACCTATCAGCTTGTATGAAAAGCATGCTTGTGGATGAAACATCTAGCTCAGAAATGCCGGGCCAAAACACATTGCATTTGCACAACTCGGGTGTTGCACCCGTCCCCAAGGACGGCCATCAACACCTGTTGGGCTGCTTCTCGAGTCCCAGCCTGTTGGATGCTCATTGATCAGTTTCACATGATGGACGGTTCACGCAATTAGGGAGTACTCTACCAAGTAAGTAGTAGTTACAGTAATTACAACTGTTGCAACTACCAGTTCCCAACGGGCCAACAGATTGAGTCCCACCTTTCGAACGCAACAAACTGCCAATCATTCGCGCTGACACGCACTCCGAAGTCAAGGTGTTCCGTCTTTTTCGAAAGAACACATCTGAAGCCCAGGTTTCCGCACTGAGCAAATGGCAGTCCTCGAGCCCAAAACCGCAAGCAGCATCACATCAACACACGGAACCACATGATGGGACACGGTAGCTCAAACGGAAGGCAGTACAGTAGCTCAAACACCCAATAACGCAAGGCCGCAATGGCATGGTTAGTGCATGTTAGTGCGCAATCTGCTTGAGTCTACTTCCACTTTCCTAGTGGCATGTTTGCAATGTGTCACTCATGTGTAAGAAACACATAGAAACCCAACATGTGCGTGCTGAGATGCTTCAGGTCGGATCTGGACAGGCTGATGTCAATGAGCTCCACAATGCCAGGCCGAGCCGATGAACGACCCTCCCTCAGTTGCGAGGCACAGGAGGCACAGTTCCCTCATGTGGGCTTCGGACTCCTGAGCCACGTGACGCGACGTAGCTCTGGTAGATTTCAGTCTTGCGATCCTGCAAATGTGTCCCAACATGTGATAGATGGTTTAAAGCTCAACGTCCCTCTACCAAGCGGAAAACGGTCCGACCAGTTCGACGTGTCCTGCAATGCATCTATCAAATGAGTCTGCGCTGCTTCGTCTTCGGGTGCCGGACCAAGCTTCGATGCCGGCCACCCCTGGATGCCTGTAGCATGTAGTGACACACTAGCACGGCTACTGCACATCTTTCATGCTACATAAGGGCCACCGTCATGGTCCTTGTCAGGACCGCTTTGTCATTTGTAGAGAGGTGGGGATGACTCAGGGGGTAACCTACCAATATTAACTGCATCGTTGCCACAGCAACACTATCAGAAAAAGGATGCGCAATGAATCTGACCACGGGCCCAAGCAAAGCAGCCCTCAGGGCCGTGCCAAAATGATATCTCATTTTGGGCTTGCCTTGCGCAGTCACGGACCACGGGCAAGGTCAGTCGTGAGCTGGCTTTGGCCCTGTCATATGCTCTCTCCCCAGCTTGCTCACTCTGTCCCCTATTCTTCATGCGAGTGACCTCCGCCAATCTTGTTTTGGAGCTCGTCCTCGTGCAAGAAGAGTAAGAAGCTTCACACTGAAAGGTTCGTCCTTGACTGGTCTAAGGATCCGACGTAGTACCTGGAGCCAGCAAGCACCACTTAACAAAACTGTGTTCTTGTAGAGTTCGTTCCATTGTCACAATTGACTCATTCATTGACATGACTATGCGTTGATTGAAAGAAGCCCGAAATTCTTTCTTAGTGCAAGTTCAAGTTCCCATTTCCATCCATTCCCAAAGACATGTGCATGCAGCAAAGGTTGAGACATGTTGAGACGTTCCTGAGCTGCCTGCTCTTTGGACCAATAAGTGTCTACGCCAAATTCAGCAAACACCTGGTTGTAGGCATCCCGGTGCAAATATTCCTAGAGCTGTGATCCAGCGTCTGAATCATCTCTAAACCCGGGCATTCCACATTTTCACACCAAGCTTCTGAATCTGCAATAACACCGTCGCAGTCCAGTATCAAAGCTCTTGGCTCAATTCCTCCTGGTGCGTGAGCCGTTTCGACGGATGTCTACTAGGTGACCTTCTGGCCAACTTGGCAGTCCCAAAGGCACTCCAGCGAGGCGGGCTGCAAGGGGCTGTCGCCTGCATCATGCACCACTCTGTGAGGCATTGCACGGAACTTTTCCGCATCCTGCCACCACAAGGCACCACATGGCCAGACATCGGGTAACAACTGGCATCAATGCAGCATCAGGGGCATCACTGGTCTTCCCCTATTTGAGCGCTAGCATACTCTTGAAATGGCTGCTTTGGCGCTCTTGCAGGTTCTTGCACCACGTGTTTCATGGCTTGATTGTGATTAATTAGTTCCCCAAATAGCGATGGGCTATGGGGCTCTTACTTCAAAAAAGAACGACCTGGCTGTGCGCACTTTTCAGGCAGGGTGTCGGAGCCGATGCCGGTGCTGTGCTGGCTGTGTGTGCTTTTGAGATGGGCGGTCCTGGTCGGGTGCTGCGTTGGCTGTGCGCATGTACGCGCTCTCGAGACAGGGTGTCGGTGCTGGCACTGGGTGCAGGTGCCGGAGCAAGCCCTTTGACATCTTTGCTGCATTACCGGAAGCTCTCACGTCTTTTTCTGAGGTACTTATTTCTTTTTACATTTTTTGTTTCAACTGCTTATGTTTTTGAGTAGCTGCTATCTGGGGTCTAGGATAATATATAATATATACTAGTTTTCGTCTGTGGTGGCTCGTCGCTTTATGTGCACTGTGCATGCATCACTGACGAAATAAGCTCTGAATCGGTTTGTAAATATCTGCATCCGGAAGCCAAACATCTGTGAACTAGCAAAGGCCCAAGAGGTCAAAAAGAGGATGCATCACAAAAAGCAAGAAATACAAAGAGTGGGCTTGGGTGGTGAGACAACGTACATCCTGCATGTTTACGTCGTGGAGTGTGGATAGTTTTCTTTGCGATGCAAGGAAGGCAAATGGTCCCTCGGTGAAGAAACATGCAAGCCATGGAAAACATACAGAGCGGCTCTGACCTCCTTGGAGTGCAACATGCAAACAATACAAAACATCAACAACAAAGTGGTAAGTCGTTTGCTCACCTTGGCCGCCGCACGGCTGCGAACGCCTTCAAACAATGAAGCTCCAGCCACTGCACTATGATTATTCATGAGGTGTCAAAGCAAACGCGTTGCTCATCAGCTCGTCAAGCCAAAGCAATGAAGAAACCGGGAGATGAACATGGAACCTTTCCTGTACGTGCGATCAATGAAACATACTGTTTGGAATATCTGACACCTCGGGCGCCGCGCGTGACCACCTCTCCTTGCAAGGGCTGGCATAGGTAAGGAACTTAAGAAACAAGGAAAACTTATATAAAGGACGCAAACAAAACAGGTCCAAAGGCTAAAAGAAAAGACAAACAAAACATAATTTACAAAACGCACTGTCTGCTGTTTAGACTCGAAGGTACACCATGTGGCGATGAGGCCGCACACCCAAACGCTGGACCAGCGCATATGTCCAGGTTGCATCCAGCACTTGCTCTGCACAAAGCAGTGTCGATACACCAAGAGTTTCATTTGGGAAGGGTGAGACGAAACACGATCTCCAAATGAAAATGTTTATGAGGTTTCTAGTTGAGTACCAAAACTTCCCGCAACTTGGACCTCAGCGATACCGGAAACTCGTAAACTACCTTAGGATCTTGACCCTGACGCACCAGCGAACTTTCTTGTGAAAAAGGCTTTTGAATTTGCAGGACCATCAAACATGTCAAGCTGCAGCAACCGCAGCAATTTCGTTTCTTCTTTGGCATTCCTTTTCTGCACGCAGCCTTCATGGAACCCTGCAGGCCATGTATCAGCAGCATTCGGTCAAAATATGAGCAGCTGACAGTAGCATTGCTCGTGCAATGTCGTGAAGTCCGAGAAACTACTTGGCATGTTTGTTTGATTTTTGGTGGGGTCCATCCACATTGTTTTTCTTCAAGGTTCATGTCAACCCATTGTAAGAAGCATGTGCACATATACATAGGCGTGAAAGAAAGTTGCGGCCCCATGCGAAATGAACACCGCCCCCGATAATCCCAGATGGCTCATGTGTATGCTCATGTCGGGCGTGCCAGCCATAATACAAGGAACCAACATAATTTTATAACACAAAAAACACAAAGTAAAGCAAACAAAAAAAACATGTAGCTGTGTGTGTTTGTCATTGTTTTTTCATTTTTTCCGCTTTATTTTCGTTTGTTTTTGGCATTGTTTTCGCATTTTCTCGTTTTTTCCTAGGAGCGTACAGCAAATATTGCTGACGGGTAGAGGTTCTCATAAATGCAGAAGTGGTGCCAGAAAAAACAAAGAACACAAAACAAATGCAAAAACAAAACAACTTGCGCAGCTTTTGTTTTTTTTCACAAAAGTTATATACTTGATGGTTGGTCATGTACGGCTGCCATTGCCCAACAGAAGTGTATGCACCACGTGCCATCATAGACCCCAAATCGTCAAAAACACTTGTGGGCAGCACTCTGCAGCGGCACCGACACATCTGGCAGCAACACCTCCAGCGGCACCAGCACCTAAGGTCCAAAGCGCAAACTGCCACACACTGCGAACACATTTGGCAGGCTCCGGCACCCTGCAGCAGCGCCAGCACTCAAGCTCTGCAGTGAAAGTAGTTCCGGGATGTTCCAGGAAATCTCATGTTGCCAGCATAGACACAAATAACAAATGATTTGGGATGAAACACCCGGTATGCAGGCCAGCGCCCCAAAGCCCTCTCCACAGCGCACACAGCCATGAAGATCTTGCGGCAGCACCCTCGACCAGCACCAGCACACAGGCTTGAAGGCACCGGCGTCATGGAGATCGCCCTGCAGCAGGGCCAGCGCCGAAGCTCCAAAGCGCACACGGCCACGCACCCCCAAACTCCAAACGCACATGGCCATGGACATCTTGCACCAGGATCCTGAAGCCGCGCCCTTCAACGGCAGCAGCGCCCAAGCTCCGAAGCACACACAGGCACTGCTTCCTTTCTTTGAAGTAAGAGCCCCAAGAGCTCTCGCTACCTGGAGAAAAGCAACGCCAGGCCCAGATAGCAAACAATTTTTTTTTGTGGCAGCACACTGCAGCGGCACGCTGCAGCGCCCTCCAGCAGCGCCAGCGCCCAGACACCTCGCAGCAGCACTCTCGAGCGGCACTAGCACGCAAGCTCCAAAGCGTACATGATAAACATCTAGCAGCGGCGTCCTGCAGCCGCACCAACACCTAAGTTCCGAAGCGCACACGGCCATGCAGTGGAGCGGCGCTGCAACGTCACCAGCACCCAAGCTTCAAAGCGCACACTGGCACCCAATAGCTCTTGCTATCCGGGGAATTATCCCGGCAAGAAACGTGGTAAGTAGAGAAGAAATACACGCGTCGCATCGTTAAATGCACTTCGAAGAGCTGGAGACATCCTTTCACAGATGCGAGCACCCTTGATCAAACCCAGCCTTAACTACGACCACAAGAACGCCTAGTGTGACCACACCGATTGGGGAATGAAAGCAGGGAATTTGGTGCGAGGTGAGGCAGCTCCTTCACGGCTTGCCAAATAATGGACAAAAAACAATACCGATGTATTCTATCTGTCGGTTGTCTGTTTGTCTATGTTTCTATTTGTCTATACGTACCTTTTCAGTATACAATTATATAAGTATATAAAAAAAACACAATTATTATCTATTTTTGTGCCCATAATACGCAGCACCCCCGCAAGAATAACTTGTGACTGTAGTATGACTACAAGAGGTGCGAAAACTGATCATCTTGTCGGTTGCTCATATCTGCGCTAAGATGAGGAAGGGCAGTCATGAGAAGAACAGCATCGAGTTCTTAATCTTAGAGCCATTATATAGCTGTCTTTGCAGCTTTGCAGCATGGCAAAAGCGACATACGGTACATTTCATCATTGATGTCATGCTATCCACTGACCTATTGAAACACTTCACCTCTCCACAACGATGCACCATAACTTCCACGCATGTCACTAGGCTCTGTGAAACAAATGCTCGAAAAGGGCTCAGTTTCTAGAAAGAATAGCAAGCATTGCATGCTCAAGCATCTCGCATGCTCCTCTTGCCACCGTCCACCACTTCTGTCGCGTTAGCTTCTTGCAGTCGACGTGCCTATATCAATGAACAACTGTCGTGAGCAAAAACAAGGGCATGGCCACAAGACCTAAAGTTGCCAGCGGAGAGTTATGTATGAGGTCTCTTGTCTTTCATCTTTCACAATTGTTTGCCCCACAGAAAAAGCGCCAACACCAACGCCTTATTAGGTGGAATGCTGCCGGGTCGCATGGTAGTAGTGATGATGATGAACAACAGTGGTTCCACCGTGGTACCCAGTGGTTCCGCTGTGGTACCCAGTGGCGCCGCTGTGATATCCAGTTGTTCCACTGTGGTAGCCCGCATTGCCAACAGACCCGTAGTGGTAGTGGTGAACATGGTGGACAACGGTCGCAGGGCTTGAGTGATAGGAGTGGTAGTGGTAGTGACCCGTGGTATGACCGGTGCTGTAGTGATGACTGTAGTACTCAGGTCCCATGTGCGATGTGACATGCGTGACAACTGTCTTTGTAAGGTGACCTGAGTGGTCGCCTGGGCACCCTTTGCTCTCGTGACTGCAGCACCAGGACTTCTTGGCCGAAGACCAACCCGAATGCCAATTGCTGTAGCCTGCATTGCAGTCATAGATGTGTTGAACCTTCACATGACGGGTCTTGTAAATGACTCGATTCTTCACTATGGTTCTTGGTGGCATCTGGACTGGCACCTTGATGGTTTTTCCGGGATCTCTGATCTTCACAGGCACACGCACAGTGTGATACTTGGGTGGAGTAGGCTGCGGCACAGGCACCGGAACCTTCTTGTGCACATACTTTGGGACCACATGAGGTTTCCCAGGCACTGGCACTTTGATGACCTGTGGTGGATCATGGATCGGCACATTCACCACCTTGTTGACAACGGCCGGTGGAGGTGCTGGGATAGGCACATGAACGGGCACTGTGATGTGCTTGACCTTCGTGATGGTGTGGTAATGGGGCCTGTAAGTCACCCTGGTGTGGCAAGCAATGTGCCGGAGGTAGCAGCAGTAGCGCTGCTTCTTCGGAGTCCACGTATGCTTGTAGTCAGCCAGGCCTGAGTCACAATCGTAGACATGAGTGTGCACCATCACTTTGTGCGTAATCACTTTGGGTGGTGGAGCAGGAATAGGCACCGTCACAGTGTGGGGAACTGGCACGTCCTTCACTCGAGTGTAGTACTGATCATGCACCACAAGGGTCTGAGGTCTTGGAGTTCCTGTCGGCACACAAAAGTGCACATAGCCTCTGGCACAACAAGTCTGGCGGGTAGACAGGGCCTCCACATCTGTCCTTGCCATGAAGGCAGGCGAGTTTGCCATGCACGGATCCGCTGCGTGAAAGTAACTCATCCACCAGTTGTTGGCAAAGCCGATGGGTAGAAGAAGAGCAAGGATGAGAAGGAAGCAACCCAGCGCCACACAGCAAGCCCGGCACCGGTAACCTGTCACTTGAGCATGTGTCTGCTTCTCAAACTCGCCCTGTCCATGGCCCACCATCTGCATTTGAGTAGCCTGAGCATAGCTCCCGCGTCCATCACCCACATAGACCCATTTCTCTTCGGTTCGCACAGCGGCAGGGTCAGCTTCAAAAAAGCATCCGCCGCATGGATCGACCTCGGCACCTGCGACCCCACCGCGGTCGCCCGCGATCACAACACCTCCCCTGGCACCACCTCCGGCGCCATACACTGCACCACCATACGCCCCACGCATAGCCATGGTTTACAGCGACGAAAACAAGGGATCACAAGCCGGTACAAAGAACACGTTTATCCCAAATCGATGGTGAACCCATGACACTTCTTGTAGGACATCGCCGCATACTTTTGGGCTTCAGTTCGAAGGAAAGTCAAAACCGATCCCTAGCAACATGATGTTTGAGCCAGTAAAAGCCAAGTCAGTCGCAAATTTGGCACATCCATGCGCATCTCTGCAATTCGACACCTATGTACACACCCACACATACACTTGCACAAATCCCGTCCACACTACCAATATCGCTCTCGTATGATCCTATCTTTTTCCGTCTTCATGCAAGCTCAAATCTGCGCTTCGTCCTAGGTCTGTGGGCATAGCAGCCGCTATAGCGCCCTTTGCCCTTGCACAACAGTGCCTACTGAGAGGGTCTTCCTTGACTGCTCTCAGGTTGTGACGTAGTCGTAGCACCTTTGGCCAGCAAGTGGCTGGGGACAAAGCTACTTCGCAGTTTTGCAGCCTGCTTCCAATATTCCTTCTCCAGCGTTTCAATTAATGTCTACTAGGTGATACTAGCCATCGAGCACCAACTACAGTATCACCCGTCTTGCCCTACATTCGCCAACACCCTTTTGACTCCTGACACAAAGTCGGCCAATGGCGCTGCTTTGGCGCTCTTGCACCACTTCGTTTCATGGTTTGATTGTGGTTAGTGTCTTCGACGCTGAAGAAAAGATGACACCCGGTCACTCTTCAGCTGCACCTTGGCTGTGTTCACGTGACACGAGATGTTTTTCATATTCTACAAGCTTCAACTGCAACAATTAAACATTGCCGTGGATTGCACATTTGAGAAACTGTAGCTACTTGACATCACAGTGGTGCCAAGGTTCTAAAGACTCACCCTCCAGCACAGCCAAGGCCTCTTTCAAACCTATGAAGGTTGCATGTTTCGTGCACTGTTGGAAAGAACCTTTGGTTGTAACACAAAAACGGCGACAATTTTTGGGCTAGAAAATTGAGATGAATGTGTTGACACTGTTGAGATACCTGTGCAAGTTGCAGGTTCAAGCCTAAGGCTCTAAACCTTGCTGCTTTCAGATACGACGCGGCAAGCTCTGGATCTGCTACCAACTTCATGTGGACCAAATTGCCTGCCATCTCTTGATCTCTTCTTCGCATAATTTCTTCTCGTGAGAGTCTTCTGTCGCATTTCTTCTTCACCTGCTCGTAGTACCTTGGTTGCTCTTTAAATGCTTGCCTCTGAGCATAAACACTCTCTCAGGCGCAATCGGCGTAACCCTTTCTACAGCATGCGCAATCTGTGGCTGCACGCCAGCCATAGATACAAGGAGCCAAAATAGATTATAAAGCAAAAACAAAGCAAAAAATAAAAGCAACAGGTAAAGCAAACAAAAAAGCGAAAAAATGTAGCTGTGCGTATTTGTTGCGCTTTTTCCTACGAGGGTACAGCAAATATTGCTGACGGGTACAAGTTTTCATAAGTGCAGAAGTGGTACCAGGAAAAAGGCAAACAAAATGCAAAAACAAAGCAAATTGCGCTGCTTTTGCATTTTCATTTGCTTTTGTTGTGCTTTTTTCTCCGCTTTTTTTTCCACAAAACAAATATTTGATGGTTGGTCATGTATGACTGCCACTGCCCAACACAAGCCGAAGAGCTCTTTCAAAGGCTCAATCTCGTTCTTGGCCGCATCTAATTCTGCAGTCAGCCTGCGAACCTTAAGCACCATTCCAGAATCAACGACCGAGTCTGAAAATACCGAGTCTGAACATCCAAACTGGACACTGAATAAATATGAGGAGGCTTCTGCAGTCCTTCCCAAGGAGGGCAAGAAGCAACAATGTTTCGGTTATGTTCGGTTGGAATCGCATGGCCTGATTCTTCAACCATTCTTGGAGCATATGCTATGGAACCTATGGAAGAAACGGCCCTTGAAACAATCATGGGGTCAATCCGGGTATATATATATATATAAATTGGACAAATTCGCGCAAGACAAAGCAACGATTGCGAGGTCCAAGTGCTTTCCGGCTTATATTATGACATATTTTGACAGTTTCCTTGCCTCGGAATCTGCTGACTTGACCTGCTCAGTCTTGCGCTCCACCTCCAGCTCCTTGAGCCAAAAACTAGGCACAACTTGGCGTGAAAGTCTGGATTAAAGACATTTGACTTTTGCCTATGGGGTCTTTGATAAAACAAGGACCGTTGATTCTGAAAAAGACTTTTGTCGGTTGATTCTGTGACATCTCACTGCGCAAAACAATATATACCCAACAAAGAATGTCGACCACACAGCATCAGGAAGCCCGGGACATGGAACAAGTCTCAGACCAGTGGGGTACCTGCACTAGGGCACTAGGGTCTGCAACAGTTGTCCCTTTCTGCGAGTCATACACGCACGAGCTTTAGCATAGCACTTCCTTCGGAACACAGTCCTTCTGATTCTGCAAAATCTGGTTCCTCAGAAGGCAAAACAATCCACAAAAACCATCAATTGAGTAAAGTCTAAGCCCTACTAAGCTTAGCTGGCTTAAAGCTCAGCCAGCTTAAACATGTTTAAACGCATCATCTTACCACTTGCACATCGTTTCAACAGTCGCTACACCACAATACAAATTGCGACGATCAGTTTTCCCTTCGAAACATCTTTCCCCCAGTGTGCCAGAGACTGCTGGCATTTGGCCATCCATGTGGAGCAACAACAGGGTTCACTCACATTCACCCAAACGACCCGCCCCATGCCGATGCCTCCACCGCACAAAGATTGCAAACAATGCAAGATTGGTCAGTGGCGCGCAAGGCTGGAGAAGGATTTCGTGAATTATGCCTAAAGGAAGGCAAGGGTCTGCTTCATCAGTTCCTTTTGCTGCATTTGTTGATCGCTGGCTTGCGTTTCAAGCTCCGCGAGATTGTCTGCCAAGCGGGATTCGCAGGTCCTCGGCTGAAGCAAAATTGACTCGATCAAACAGTCCATTCATGCTTGCAGTCTCACATTGTAATCCAATTAGGGCAACATTGGGTGCTACCGGCTACTGTGCCGATGCCATACATACACCATGCTGCAACACCGTGCTTCCTGCCCAGGATCTGCAAGAGCTGAATGATCCCCGTGCCTGCGCCACTGCTTGCCACGTGCTGCGATGGAGTTGGTGGTGGTGCTGACACCTGCCATTACTAGGAAATAGATGATAGATTCTCCTCAAACAATCTCTCAAAATAAATGTTTTTCCTTTTACATATCCTTTCTCTTTTCTTTGTCTGAACTTCGATCGCTTTGCGCTTTTTCCTTCCTTTTCCTTTGTTGAACATGGACATCACTAACCTCTGGTCTGTTTTTGTCGCTTTGTTTTCGTCGTCTGTTGCGTCTGGCTCCCCTGCATTGTTTCAAGTTACCTCCTGATTTCCGTATGCCAGAGAGGAACAGCCAGTCAATGAAACATCATCTCCGGTTTGTCATTGGTATACATACATATTTGCACCGGTCAACGGCGGATTCGGAAACTAGAACCGCGGATTCGGAAACTAGGGTGGCCACGGATTCGGAAACTAGGATTCGGACACTAGAAGGAGCGTGGATTTGGAAACTAGGATTCGGAAACTAGAACGGGTCTGAATCAGATAGTTTCTGAATCGGGTCTGTGAAACCCGAATGTGTCCACGCTACATCAACACAAACATTTCACTAGATCCCCACCCCCACCCCCCAGTTTCTGAATCGGATAGTTTCTATTGAATCGGCAATTTCTGAATCCGGAGAGTTTCACATCCAAAAATCAAGCATTTGACTGGGGCCTTCTGCAGCGCTGCCACGGCAGCTGCCGCTCTGGTGGCCAAAGAGTTTGAGCCTTCCTGTGCCATGCAAGGTGCAGTTGAAGGTAAGCTGGGCTGGGGGATAGCAAACAGGCGAGTTCAATGGTTTTCATGCCCCATCACTGCCTCCTCAACATTTTGAGAGCTGCTCTCATCC